AATAATATTGTAAACTGCAGTTAAATTATTCAAACGTCATTATCAAGTTATTCTAAATTATTATTATTGTGTTATATAATGTTGAATAATATAAAATACCGACCTTAAAAGTGGAGGTACTTATCCAAATATCGAATAAAATATATYCAGTTAAATATAAAYGTGTTAATGAATAATTGCTTTATTTAATTTTGTTTTTATAGAAGTTAACGTCGACATGGAGAACCCTTGCAACTGAAGCTACATTTGATATAAAAGTTTGTAACATTTAAAATAAAATTAGAAATGTAAAAATTGTATACATTTTAGGTTCTGAGTGAATCAAAGAATGTATAATAATATATGTATAAGAATATCGTTATGTAATTTTACCAAAATTATGCTGATGTGATTGACAATATATTTAACTTTTCAATAAGCATATTTTCAAACATAAATGTAATTTCATAGTCATATTAATGATACAGCAGTATGATATATACAGCCTATTATAGGCACCTATTATTATTTATTATGATATATATATATATTGGATAGACTATTTTTTGGTAAACTTTAATACTCATAACTAAGTATAAGTAGCAATAATTCACAACTACACCTATCGTAATTCCAAATAAAGGCGAGCAAGTGGGTATCGCTCTGCTGTATAGTAGGTGTCGAGTGGGTCACTGTTATAGATGTATAAAATTTGAATTTAATGATATAAAATAATTGCATATGAATAAAGATTTTGAGCRAATATAATCTGTCAGCCTGTATGGGCATTGGATATGTATTCKTTACTAAGTAACTAAGTATATTTTATGATATTACTGTTATTACATTTTGTTTTTCTAGTGTCACAGTAGATATGGATTGAATTAATTTTCCAATAGCATTAATTGAAAATGTTGTTGTGATACATAAAATATACTAATATATTATAAATTTATATCAAATAACAAATATATAATATTTATACATTAGCAATCTAGATTAGGTTAGCACGAACCACTTACAAAAAAAATATTTTTAAACTTAAAATAGTACCTATAATAAAATCAATGGTTACAGCGTCTCATATAGACACTAGAGTAGTACCTACCCAATTACCTTATTTTCTTTTCCCAGAGTATCTATAGGTACTTAATTTAACTCAGCAACTGGTCGTGAAAATTCCGATTTAATTACATCAACATTTTTTAAATATTGTCTAAAAAGGGGGTTCTCATTTTAAAAGAAGAGTGTTTTGCGCCACAAGACACTCCTTGCATTTGAATAAGCTAATCAGGTATAAAAAAAAAAAAAAATGTGGGTGAAAATCCTAGGTGAATTATCTTGTGTATATTGGCATAAACAATTTTTAATAATGTTATTTCTAATAATAATTATGTAGCTACCTATGAAAACCTTTGCAGATTGATATTTGAAAATAAAAACAATTTTTAATACTACGCCKCAAGTCTAGGATTATGATTCTAATTTTCAAGTAATGTGTAATATTATATTCTTGTCATGAATATCTTTTTTTTTCAAAACCACAAGATGGGTTTTAGTAATTCCCACTCGAATATAGAGGTATTTTATTAATYTATTGACTTGTAGACGTGTAGTACTGTAGTATTAAAATGAGAGATACCTGCAGAGGTATAAAATAACACTTTTTGGTGTATAGGCTTTCAAACTTCACAAATTAGAATCCGGACCCAGTACCACGGTAACCGTAACCAAAGAAGATGCCATAAATTACTACAAGCAGATGCAGTATATCAGACGAATAGAGACGGCAGCCGGTAACTTGTACAAGGAGAAAATCGTCAGAGGATTCTGTCACTTATATTCTGGACAGGTTGATATATTTTATATAAATATATTGTTCAACGGAAATTGATTTAAATAGCAACGCTGAAACGTCCTTAATTCGTTATTAAACATAATATATAGGAAGCTTGCGCGGTGGGCATGAAATCAGCATTCCGTGAACAAGACTCAATAATATCAGCTTACCGTGTTCATGGCTGGACATACTTGATGGGTGCAAAACCTGTGGAGGTGCTGAGTGAACTCACCGGCCGAATCAGTGGGGTAGTTCGTGGTAAAGGTGGTTCTATGCACATGTATGGTAAAAAYTTTTACGGTGGAAACGGCATCGTCGGTGCTCAGGTTGGTAACTATTTTTTTATGATCACGACGTATTTATTATTTATTATAATAAAATGGTAAARTAAAGAATTTATCTTGTAAAATTAAATCCTGAAATATCGAAAAACTATTACTTAGGTATACGTATGTCGTTTTATATAATATCAAAATACTTCGAACGTTCAAACTTAAATTATTTCGTAAACAGGGGTGGCTACAGAGCCTTGATTTAGGTTTRGGGGGCAAGTTATAATTTCAAAAAACTTTATAAAAAAAATTATTATTAGTGTTTATTCTATATATTTTTAGTATTCCCGTAGTCCGCAAATGTGTGATACGTAATTCATATTTTGAACATAATAAAATAATAATATCATAGTATCATACCATAATATATTTTATATCAATATAGTTCATTTATAGCCTTATAAGTTCTTCATAATATAGATAGCAGGTACATCGTATATGSCGTCATACATCTATATGGCTCTATCTAMATAATTGTGTGTGTCGTATAATAGTCGATATAGTATCTTAAATGCTTTTTTTGTTTGTAATTATTTTTTTTAACAATATACATTTTTTTATAAATACGAGCTTGGAGGGGTGGCTGCGGTCCCTGAGGTACCCTCCCTGTGGCCGTCTCTGTTTGTAAACATACTTAAATCTTTAGTTTATATATATCATAATGTATACATTTATCACAGACCTTAAATTTTTTTTAAATCCCAATTTACAAAAAAAAAAAAAAACAGAGATACGACCCTTTTGACTTAAGCTGGAGTAAATAGTTTAGCTACACGTTTGGTATAGACAATAGATTTCATAGTTATGTTTATGGCTACCATAATACTGTAAACCATTATACGTACAGGTACARCAAACCATTAACTATTATCTCAAAAAGGTAAAAAAATAAAATTTATTGTTTTGATCACTTAATTSTTGTTTAGGTTCCTTTAGGAGCAGGCGTCGCATTGGCTGCAAAATACTTAGGCACTGGAGGAGTATGCTTTGCTTTGTACGGAGATGGCGCTTCAAATCAAGGTCAAGTGTTTGAAGCATACAATATGGCTAAACTATGGAACTTGCCCTGCGTATTTGTCTGTGAGAACAACGGGTATGCAATGGGAACGAGTTCAGAGCGGTCAGCGTCAAATACCTCTTACTACACCAGGGGCGATTACATACCCGGAATTTGGGTAAAAATAGTGTGGCACCCGACCCCAGTGATCGTTGAAATTTAGAGATTAGGTTTAAATATTTTTTCTCAGATGCTGGATAATAATCAATTACAAATTCGAATAATTATTTTCTAATTCCCGTAGTTATACCTATATTCAAAAGAAATATCAAATAGGTGAACTTCGATAATTCATTCTATATTTCCCATCTATAAATRTCCAATATACGGTCTATATCTATACATTCTATACCATAATTTCAGTTTCTTCGTTATTTAATAACGTGAGAAAATAAGCAATATGTACTGTGAACACAATATTGAGACTTCCTGCAATCCTAAGTCCATGATTTTTAAATAGGTATCACGTCCTAATAATTTCTGTCTGTATTATCTTAGAAATTTGACAATAATATATAATTTAAAATACTGATACTTAAGTTGGTGGACCATTGGTATATGTAGTTTGTGCTACCAATCAATACTTGAAAGTTGAAATTAATAAAACATCGTTAGATTCTTAGATTCTAATTAATCTAATAGAAGCTTGGTTTAACTACTCGTTTAGCTGGTAAGAACATTTTTAAAACAGGTAGCGACTCGTTATTATAGTGGTTACTTTACAACCTTACATACAGAGGTACTTTCATGGTTTTTAATTGTTTAAAGACTTATGAGTTCTGTTTATGACTTTTAATATAAGACTAAGAAAAATATATTTCATGAACCTATTTTTCGTTTCTACTGATCCCTTAAAAATTAATGAAAATTTTGTAAGATAATCTCTTTAAGTTTTCCTATATTTTATTTAAATGCCCAACATATTATAGAAGAACTTCATTTTGTTTCTCAAAAAATAAACTGAATGCAATACCTATTATAGCAAGTTAGATTGTTAGGATGTTCGTTTTTTTTTTAATTATGCATATACCCTCGCTAACATCATTTAGTATTGACTATTAGTAATATTCTATGTATAAAATACATAGGTACCTTTATCTAATTGGTAATTTCAAAGGCAGTAGAACTCTAGCATTTACATATTTGTTTTAAAATCGTGAAAAAGGCCAAAAACAAATTTATTTTATGTAACAAAAAGYGAATCACTACCTATAATATATTCTGTGAATTTTTTTTATTAAAATTAAATTTAGGTAGATGGCATGGATGTATTGGCTGTCAGGGAAGCATCAAAGTTCGCGGTGGATCACTGTATTAATGGGAATGGTCCTATACTTTTAGAAACAGTTACTTATAGATATTCCGGTCATTCAATGTCGGATCCTGGCACATCATATAGAACTCGAGCTGAAATTCAAGCTGTAAGGATGACGAGAGACCCAATTACATCRTTTAAAGAAAAAATTCTCTCTGCTAACCTAGCAACCATTGACGATCTCAAAGTAATGATTTTATTCTTAATATATTATACACGTGTTAGTATTTAGTGTATTGCATTGTAAATTCGTATGTTTTATTTAGAAAATCGATAGTGAAATAAAAATAGAAATTGATCAAGCRGTTATAAAATCAAAGGAAGATGAAGAAATTACACTGGATGAGTTGGCCAGTGATGTATATTCCAAACCACTTGAAAACGAACATCGCGGGGTAGTACCCTGGCAAAAAATAAAACATGTTAGAATTGGACTATCCAATAATATTGTGTAAATTATGTCAGGGTAAATGCAATTTGTAAATGTTGTACATTTTTTATTTTGTCATTGTGATTTGTGATATGATGGAGTGGAGCCATACTCAATAGGGTATTTGTTTTTTGAATTTAAATATGTTTGTTATCATTGTTACTTGTTAACTTGTTGACTCATATAAAATATTTTTCATAAAATGTTATTTATTTTTAAGTTCACCTTTTTTTSTTTCTAATACCATTGTGGTATTGTTTGTCCCRGTTAACTAAAAAATGTTCAATAAAAAAACAAACTCATTATTATTTATACTATATAACCATTTTATATTAACTCATATAATGAAATTGGTGTTAGTATTATGCAAAGCAAGTAATAAGTAATAGCCAATAGGTAACTAATAATTATAAATTAATCAAATCATGAAAACTAAATAGTATTATACTAGTATCTATCTATAGTATTTAAAACATTTTAAAAATAGTACCTACGTTAGTCAGTATTTTATGTTTGAAGAAAATTAATGTGGTCCAAATCTGTTGAGTAAATACTATTGTGCATTGCTGTTATACATTATGCACACACTTTTACTGCTTCTTTTAGGTTTATCTAGTATATTAAACTATTATTATTAAGTCATATTAAATATTTAAAGGTTTTATAAAAATATGAGTACCATCTGACATCTGTATCTAATATGGTTGTATAAGTACTATTAATTCTAAATTATGTTTTTTAATTAAWGTGACTGTGTGAGGCTGATGTAATGTTGATTCAAATATCTCAAAATATTATTATGTTATGAATAATATGAATAATGATAATAATTGAACAGAGTATTTTTTTTAGATAAGATATTACAAGATTATTGATATTTGTTGATTGGTATTTGTTTTGTTCAGTTTTCCATCAATWCAAATTACATAGTTGAATATTATTTTGATTTAAAAATATATTAAAGGCAAGAAAACAAGAACATGTACTTTTGTTAATCTATTTATTAAGTTAGGTCTATTTTCGTTTAAAGGTATACCTACGTTCAATTAGTTCCTAAAAAATATAAAAAACAGACGAAGCTGAAGATTATTGATTCCAATTTAATTATTTATAATAAATAATTAAATGTTGYTACATTAAATTATTCACTTATTCACACAAAAATTTTAACTATTGACTTGATAGATTATTATAGTATCAGCTATACAGGGGTGTGCTCAAGGGAGAGCTGAGGGTGTCAATATGTCATATCCCTTTYGTTTATTTTTGTCATACTTAGTATGTGATAAAACAATGATAGTCAAATACTCAGATAGTATTATAGGTATATTTACYACTTTATAAAACGTAGTCTGAAAATAGTAAAAATTCATACCCCCTTTTAAAAAAACCTGAGAACGCCACTGTATCAACTATTAAGTATAAATATGTCATAATATAATATGTACTAATGTTTTTTGTTTATTTTAATAAACTTTTTACACAATTTAATAAAACTAATGCCGACAACTAAATTAWTAAGTTTTTGAATCCACCCAGAATCGGTATGAATATTTTTTTAAGAACATGCTCATTCTGGCATTCCTATTTTAAACATTTTTTTTTTATTTAAAGCCTCAACAACTAAGGTTATCGGCTTTCATTTTAGATAAACATAATTAAACTATATATAATTTAAATGATTACATTATGATAAGTTTTAGAGTGTTATACAAGGAATATAGAAGGTTAGAAAACGAAAAAAAGACAATATAATTATATACGTATAAGGTTATAAACAGTGGTGTAGTCGTAAATATTGTTTTGGGTATACACCTAAATTGAGAAATATTTAATACGTGGGGGGCTCCGCCCCCCACACCCCCTGTATACCAATATACTTAGATTTATCTATTATTCTAAATTTATTTAAATATATAATAATATATGATTCCATTATAGCAAATKTATAACTTATAAAGTTTAGTACTTTGTAAAAACGTTATGATATTGCTGCAATTTTCAAGACTGGGTCCTAGTGCTTCATATAGATTATAGGTGATCCGAGATGTTCTGGTATCGGCATAGTTACGGCAGTGTAGGAGGATATTATGTTTGACAATTACTGATTAGACCTTTCTCACGGGTTAAGCAATGGRTATAGAGTCTTCGCATTAGGGAGCTATGGGTAAGCCATGCTGTGCCCAATTCTTTTGATTATAACTTCATATCTCTATTTTTATTTTTAACTAGTTATTAGATACAATTTAAAGAATATATAATACTTACCTATCTTCAAAGCATGATTATTCCTAGTGTTTAGCAAGGTTAAACTTGCGTAGGTATTTCAAAATTCAATATTATTGTAGTTTGGCTGTTTGGCTCACATCTTAAATTGGTTGGCCTGAAAAAGGATAATTTTTTGACAATAGTTGTTGCTAGYTTAAAAATATGTTAATAAAAAAAATAGTAAAATATAACTGTTAAGCTGCAGCTCTTGMATCCTTCATGCCATCTTTCACAACCTAATTTTAACAATTCCACATTATACCRCTCCTTTAGATGTTCCTCATGCCACCAAAAAAYTTTTAGCTAATGAACCAGTGAAAAGGTTGATGGAAAACGCCAATGTGAACCCTATTTTTAGATTTTTTTGTTTCTGCGTACACATATGATTTWTAACTTCAGTAGATTTTCCTGTTGGAAAGTGAATTTAGTTGCACCAACAACGCACCGTTGGGGAGGTAAAATTTTGAATTTCCAAGTAGTTTTCAAAAGTACCGGGAAAACAAAAAAAAATTAATGAAAAACTTGAATTTTTACGTAAAATCAATTTTTGAAAAAATAGAATTTTGATATTGGCGTGTAACTCTAAAACAAATTACCGTTGACACATGAAATTTTTACTGAACTTTATACTGGCATTTTCTATACATGGTCAAATTTTGACAAAATACTTAAAAATCACGAAAATTTGGAATTTATTTTGAGTTCATAAAAATTTATCTTTTTAAACCTAATATTTGAAAATTCGTTACAAGATCCTAAATGACTTTGTTTACTTTTATCAAATAACAAAAGTGTATGGGAAAGTCAAATTAAATTTTTATGAGCATTTTAATTATAACATATTGGATATTCACTCAATCTCTCTTGTTATTTTAATATCTCCGATATTTTGTTGTAATTCAAAAACGAATAACTGTAAAAACTTGAAATATGTTCGCTACCTACCAAATGTTCGTTTTATCAATTCCTAAACTTGATAAAATTTTCAAAATATTTCAACCATTTTTAAGTAATTTATAGATATTTAAAATTTTTCATTTTTATAGTTTTTTATTCTATAAATGTCAATACAATTTCATTCGTAGGGTAAAAAACTTGAAAATGTAATACAAGATTCCATACTTATAAGAAGTTAATTTTGAGGGGAAAAAAATCTAAAAATTATACGAATACAGTTTTTTTTAATAGTAATTTTCAGTTCAAATTTGTATAAAATTACATATTAAATAACCAAGAATAGCAATTTTAGTTATATTATTGAATTTGTAATTTAAAAATATTATTCGTGGGTACTTAAAATTTCTAAAGTATATACCTACTTTATAATTTATATTCTAATTGTAACATAGCTTATGTCATTAACGACTTATATTAATACTTTATAATAAATGTATATACCTACTATGAATGACTAAGTGAGTCAGATACCTACATTTTTTTTTT